TAAGTTATCTAATAACTCATCTGATAAATTTTTACATGGCTACTTTCCAAGCGTCGGCGGCCAGTATGACCGTGGACACATGTCAGTGTGGACTTCCAACGTACAGGCATACTACGCCTTAAGTCCCACTTGCCACTTTACTGGCTCTTGTAAGCTACTTTAAAAACATGCTCATCGTTATTTTCTGCTATTACAATTCAACTTCTCTGCCATAAAGTCTGGGTCTGGTTAGGTTTTTAGTTGCGGACAGATGATATTCGAACCAGGTCGTGGCGAAATAACGACGAGGCATGGCGCTTCTACCGTCTGAGCTAACTCGCCAAAATAATGATATATTTTAGTGCCGTTTAGTTATTATTATTATTATTACTATAAATTATACTGTTGTATATATTATTATTTATGTTATAATTTTTATTCATACTCGACAAGATCATTACATTTTTTAACTCGTGGACGACAAATGAAGTGAATGCCGATGGATGGATGGATGAATAGAGGGTAACATCTTTAGCGAAACTCACGCCAAATGCATGTCCTTAATCACAACATCTATTAACCTATCTGTTAGTTAAAATATCTGTGAATCATAATATATAAATAATTTGTTAATAATATTAAAAACTGTATAATTTTCTTACGTTTAATTATTACATTTAATTATATCTAATTATGTTTCTAGCAGTGACGATGATGATGGGAATGATGATGATGATATCCAGCAGTAACAATGAAATTGTCAGCGTTTTAACTTAACTATTTATATAACTCGAATTAATTAATTGATCAATTAACTAATTAATTAACTGATTTTCAACAATAAATTAACAAATTGGAAAAAAATTAATTGAAAAATTAAAAAAAAAATTAAAACAGAGTGGCAGCAATGTGAAGAGTTAAATAAGGTTATGAGATAAATAAGGTCCGTTTTGTTTCTAAAAACTTTTCAAGTGTCTTCTCCAAATTAAAAAATTTTACTTTATGATGGAATTTTTGTTTTTTATATTTTCTATTTTCTCTCTCTTTCTCTCTCTCTCTCTCTCTCTCTCTCTCTTTATCTAACTATCTGTCTATCTAGCTATTTTTATTTAGCTATCTGTCTATCTAGCTATCTCTCTGTCTATCTTCTTCATCTTTTTTGTTTCCTTTTCCATCTTTCTCCTCTTTTTTGTTTCCTTTTCCATC